AAGATTGCACTATTCGTCAGCTGGTATAATAGTTGAATCCTAATTTAAAATGGAAATGAACAGAAAAGAATCTGATCGTAATATCGACCAATGGACCCGTTGTTCGAATCAGTTCGCATCCACTTGAAATTTTAATCAATTTTTGGATTCCCATTTCTGGTCTGCCTTGCCCTTAATACTTGCTATAATTCGTCTCGTGTCTCATTATTGTTAATGTCTTAAAATATCCTTTCAAAACTAGTACAATACCCTAAATACTCTGCCTGTTTTCAATTAGCAGAAAATGATGACATAAACGCACTATGGCAACGAATTACCATGCTATCTATACTGTAGGCATGTAAAATTTTAAGTTGGTTTGATTTGTAATCGTTTCTTCGCTTTACCTCACCATAAAACTGCATCTTCTATCCTCAATGATATTATTAAAGCTACATGCTGATGTAAAGTCTTACTTTCTAGCCAATCTTTTTATTTATCACCAAGTATACTAGAGCTGTTACTCCTGAAAAAGTGGACAGTTATTTTATCGTTCTACTATTTTAATTTAGTCAAGTCGTTGTTTTTTTCTTTTTCGAAGGCTATTGTTTACTTAATTTTGCCTTGACAACCTATTAAAAGTCGCGAACGGCTATTACCGAATTTGTTCTTTTTATAATTATCAGCAGTCTTGATTCATTAATTTGCTATTGGAGTTTAATTTACTTTGAATAACTAATCAATTTTTGACCACCATACTGACTGTGATTGTAATATCGACGAAATTTTATACCAACAAGGTAGCAATAACTTGATAATTAGTTTTACTGTAGGTCTTTTGATTTTACTAGAGGAGTGTTACGGAGTAACTTTTAAGCAGCTGTCGTAACAGATTCCATAAGATAATCTTTCCAAGAATGTATTTACATACCGTTATCTATGATGTTTTACATATTTTTTAATAGATAACTACATAGCTTTATAATATTATCTATAAACTGATAATAAATGCTTATATCGATTCGTTATAAATTGACTGACTTTTCAATAAAGTTTGGATTCAGTTATGTCTTAGACAGACTAGTGATGTTATTATTCCTCCTGACGATAGGAGATTGTCAGTATTTAGCTAAAAGTCGTACTGTAGGTTAATATCAGGGAGGACAAACCTGACAGTAGATTCGTAGTATAATTTTTACAATATTTTTAGCATTTTCCTCGTTACAAATTTCGATTTGTAATAAGTAGATAAAAATGAAATAATCGATTGGATTTACTAACAAATACAGTAGTCAAAGTGAACTTTCTTTATTTCAGACACATAAACAGACTTACTGTGCTACATCCCTACTACCGGTAAAGTCGTTCTCTTGCTGGACATTCTCACCTTTGCATAGCGGTAGCTGCGCCTGTATAGTTAGCACTCACTAAAAGTATCTACTATAATCATCATCTAGCTTAAATAGGATGGAGATAAAAGATAGTTTTAGCATGATGACAGAATAAGTGGGCTAATTTCGGTCAAGGCAGCGACATGAATGGATGAGTCTAAGTAGCAGCTATAAATCACTCCTGATGTCTAATGTTTAATTAACATGATTTTGTCTTATTTCACTATGTACATCATAATAGATCCATTATATATTTGTAACTAAGGAGGTTAGTAAACTGTTTACAAATACCTTTACATAGAGGCATAGTATATAGGTTTCCAGATAGAAGCAAGCACCATGATTATTAAGACTATTATAGTTCTCTAAAAGGAGAAGTTATAAATGTTTTATAGAATAATGGTAATCATAAATATGGAAAAGTGGTATACAAAAAATTGGCTATAAATTGCAGAAACTGTTTTCGTAGATCTTTCCCGGATTATCTACTTTAAGTCTATTTATTCATTGGACTTATATCGACTATACGACAAAAGTAAGCTATTCGTCTAATTTATAATAAGGACTTGGAGGACGGATATTGATTAATTATTCTAAATCTGTCATATCTAATGAACTTTGTACAGTACAGTTACCGGAGTATCCAACCGGCATTTTATGAGCCTACTTATCCAAATCTTTTCTATCTAGCTTAAGTAGCGGTCATAATCTTAGATTTTTATCGGCTATTCTCGATCTGTTGAATTAACTAAGATTTATTAACGTAACTTACGCCTTACTAGCATGTGTTGTAATCTTTACCTTGTTTCTGATATTGGTTTTAATTGCGGAAATGGATTAATTTTATGAACTGATTTAATTTATCGGCTAGAACTTACCTATTTGTAAACATCATCCTGAGATCGAAGCTTCTATCTTCGTTTTACTAATTTATTTTTAATCATGAATAAGTTCAAGTCCTTTATAGCGACTGATTTATCTTCAAATCTATCCAACTCCATTATTTTGATCTACTCTTAATTAAATTTTCAACTTTTTATATAGTAAAATTAAATCATCTCGATTTTAAGTGAATCATTTAACCTAAAATCATGTTAAATGGAGTTTTCGAACTAATCGCGGGAAGTGCCATCTATTTTCATACCTGGAGGTGCCTACCTGATATCACAACATGATTATATAAGTTATTTTGCTCGTAGACTCCCGTCTCTGATTGAATCGTAGAATGGATAGTTTTTTTTCCTTATTGATTGACTTGCATTAGTTTACTAGGTAAATAACAACAAAGTTAAATCATCTCCTCGATTTCACATAAATTATTTGACTCAGAATCACGTTACATGAAAATTTTCAAACTAATTGCGGAAGTACCATGCTCAAACTTGGTTAGTTGCTATCGCAACAAGATATTATAAATTATTTCCCTCGGAGACTCCCGTCTTGGACAGAATCGTAGAATTGCCTAGCCTTTTCCTATCAATTGACTAGAACGGATATACTGAGTAAGTAACAAATACATTAAGAGCGAAATTAAATCATCTCCTCGATTCAAGTAAACCATTTAACCTAAAATCACCTTAAATGAAATTTTTCGAGCTAATTGTGTCAAGTAACATACTCAAAGGTGCCTGCCTAATTACGATCACAACAAGATCTTATAAATTGTTTTGCTCATAGAACTTCTATCTTATATAGAATCATAGAAATAAGTGGTCTTTCCCCATCGACTGAATTGGGTTGATTTACTGACTAAATAAGAGCAAAATCTAATCATCTTGATTTCAAGTAAACCATTTAAACTAGAATCACGTTAAATTAAAATTTTCAAAATAATCGCTGAAAGTATCATCTGTTTGCATGCCTGAAGGTACCTAGCTAGTAACACAACAAGAACTTATAAGTTATTTTGCGCATAGACTCCAGTCTCAAATGGAATCGTAGATATGCGAATTTTTTACCTATCAATTGACTAGGATTGATTTGCTGAGTAAATAACAGCAAAATTATTAATTCAGAATTATATTTAATGGAATCTTTCGAGCTAATTGCGGAATGTATCATCTGTTTTCAAATCTGAAGGTGCCTAGCTAATATGACAACAACATCTTAAAAATTATTTTACTCATAGACTCCCGCTCCAGGTAGAATCGTCGGTATGAGTTTTGTCTTTTCCCTATCGATTAATTAAGATTGATTTGATACAATTCTATATTAGATTGTGAATATTGACTCGGTATTGTCCTACAAATCCCTCTTTTCAGGTTTTTACAACTCAATGCTATTGCAATAAACATAGAAGGAAATTTTTATTCTGTTTAATTTGCATCATTTAGTTATGAAAATAGCTATAACTCTGATATTCTTAAGGTGATCTAATTTAATATAGCTAAAGTTATGAATTTATAATAGATAGAGCAACACTTGATATTATAAAGCCTGTTGAATTTAATTTAGCACATTTATATCGGCCGATAATTTAGATTGGATTCAGTTCTGATTGCAAATATTTTTCCGTTATTTCAATTGGAAAAGATTGAATGTAGTGACTTACTCAATGCTGATAAGTACTCTTCATTTTGTCTAATTTGCTTTAATTCGGCTATAGTCCAAGATACCAAGAGCTATTTTGGTTGAATGGTTAATTTGATATAGTTAAGGCGTGATGTTGTAGACTTGACTTAATATTTCTTGTTCTATCTAACAAAATATCATTCATGTACAATGATATTCATAGACAAATCTTTCCTTATCTGTTTAATTTGATGTAGTGAGTAAATATCAAGATTGCCTTTGAAGAGGAGTGATTTCATTTTATTCCGGGTAATGATTCAAGCACACATAATTTTTTATCCTCATCTATTTTTAAAACATTGCTATTATACTGCGATATTACTTTTAAATCTTGACATAAATGGTAGTATTTTTGACGCTAGAGTGATTTTTGGTCCTTGATTGTCTATTCTTAAAAATTGAATAGTTTCACGGCAATATCAGCTCTGATTTTTCCTTCAATTCTGGTTATAAATTACATCGACAACTTTATTTACCAGTTACATATTGATAGTCTATTTGACTCAAGATTCAGATACTCATGATCATTTGAGTCATTTTTTTAATTCTATTTCATAGTAATATCGAGGATTAAATATCTGCTCTTTTCGATTACAGATCGATCTTAACGGACTAATTATCTTTATAAAATTGGAAAAAAAGAGCTTACATATCAACAACCGGCGTTGAATAAAGCTTTTAGGACTAAATCTAAAAAATGGTAAGTTCTCAAGAAAATGAAATATCTATAAAGTAACTCTCGTTGGAACAGTAGTGATAGTGTGAAATTATCTATTATTATTCAATTTTCCTTTCCAATTCAGTCTTTAAAAAGTTCTCGATTGTTATTGCATCATCCTTTAGTTATATATGTCACGTAGCGAACGTATACACTATAACTAATTTAGAGCATCAGATGTCGTGCAGTCAAAATATAAATAATTTAGATCAATTTCTCATCATACCGATATATTTCGTGATATAATTTTTTGCAACCAATTAGGACAGATTTTATTTATTTTTAGATTAATCTTGACTCTTAATGCTTTTACATTTTTGTTATATCGTTATAAATATGAACAGTATGGATTAATTAATCACATCATTCAAGCACTACTGAAGACTAAATTCGGCAATGAATTCTGGGAAAAAATTAGGTGAATAATTTGCCCCCAGCAACTGGATAATCAATTATGAATAAAATAGTGAAAATTTGGCCATTGTAGACCATATAAAAGTCGATAATTATATCTTTTAGGTTGATTTTACCTGATTGTACCATTATTTGTTAATATAGGTATTCTCATATGTGACCGATAATGTACAAGACTATCGATAGGCTAGCTTTAACCGATATTAATAGCTAAATATCGTGGAGCATATGAAAAATAATGATATCAATTTAGATCAATTTGATCTTTATATATCATCATTCACCTGTATATTCTTGTACAAAATTAATAATCTGCAAGACAACATAAGATTTTTTTTAATAAACAGTGATATATTCAATGCATCTCTTTAGAGAATATATAAATAATTATAGATTGATAATCTACCAGACTGCAAGATAGTTTTGACTAATAATACATTCATATGGTAAAATTAAAATAATAAGTATAGTACATCTGTTAAAAAAATTTATATATTTAGTGATTTTTTTCCCCATGCTGATTTGTAGAAATAAGATGGGTCATTTACCTGATGAATTTGAAATTCAAAAATTATATGATGATAAGGTTACTTACGACATGGTTAAAAAAACTGCTCGAGATACAGGTAATCAGTTTTTGAAAGGGAGTATCCATCCTAACTTGGCTCTACTGTACTGTATAGTTATTGCGAATTATCTTTAATTCCATATATATTCTGTTCTGTTTATCAATAACCCTTAGCTATTTCACATTTATAACCGTCCCTATCATTTATAGATCACCCATGATGCTGATAATTACACATTTTGTTTATTTATACATATGCTTCTCTTGTATTCTTCTTGCTGCTATATACAGTATTAAGTATATCGAATTATATTGCTCGCATATTTTATTTATCATCATCCTTTATTTCTTTATATTTTGTAAATATGGCTTCTATTTATGAATTATTGCTGATTACAGTATTGGAAAATTGCATAACTTACTTCTAAATACCTATTCCTTTCTTCATATTTCTCAGGATTACACATATCAATTTAGTGCTACTAAATCATAAATTACACGATCTACTTCATTTACATATCATTCTTTTTTCTATTCTTCGATAATTATAATTGATACTGCAGTTGATTTAGTACTAGTAATCTCCAGTTATATGAGCTACTTATTCCATTTATCATCTTTCTCTTTGCCTTTGCATATATTTTTTTGCCGTTTGTTTAGGATTGATAATATTAAATCATGTAACATGTTCCATTAATACTTAGCACCACAACGTTTTATTTCAGATTAGCAATGTTAAATGAACTGATTTCATTACTGATCGTTAAGTCTATCAATATAATTTATCATTCATATAGGATTAACGGTAGATGAAATTTTTGAATTGATCGGCCCCTGTTGGTTGGATTGGATCGAAACTAGCCCTTACGCTACCTTAATTCACGTTATTGGCCCTAATTTATATTGTTTATTAAATAATTTAAACACATTATATAATCACTTAGGAACGTCATTTACTCATATGATGCCACCTGAATTTAAATGTCAAGAAACACAAGATCCACAAGTTTATCGGCTTCATTATTATTCTAATCGTAAGCATTTAAAGGGTATGGCTATCGGCATTATTAGAGATATTGCACGTAGTTTATACAATTTAAAGATTGACATTACCGTCTTATACGATGGCATTGCTGAAAATCGTTTAGCTTATAAAAATCATATTATATTAGAAATCCATGAACTTGGCCCATACAATACTAGTCGGCCAATGAAAGCAACTATTAGTTCAGCTGAATTAAAATTATTAGCATCGACCGATAGTTTAGCTTGGCATCTTGGTGAAGATGAGAGTAATGGTTGTTATATTTCTGATCAAATTTTTAATAGTATCTTTCCCTTTCATATCGTATTCGATAATGAATTGAAAATTAGAAGGATTGGTAATAGTTTAGCCAAGAAATTGCCTCAAATCCAATGTAATAGCAATTATCGTCCACGTCTCAATGAGTTATTTCAATGTTTAAAACCACCCTTAATGTTGACATTAACCAATATATTAGACAATATCAATAGCGATTTTATTATGGAAGCAATTGATCAAGAAAGTCTTGGGCATTACCAAACATTTCAATTAAAGGGGCAAATGATTCGATTGATCGATAATAATTCATATATTTTATTTATGTCATCACTTGTAGTTAAGAAATTAGTTGATTTAAAACGGCAAGGGTTTTATATTAGTGATTTTCCACTGCATGATAAAAGTCGTGATTTACTATTGCTTCAGCAATATCATCAAGTAGAGCAAGATTTAAACGTACAAGTAGAACGATTAACAGCACAATTACACCAAACGACAAGATTACTTCAAGCTGAAAAATCAAAAGTGAACCAACTGATGTCATCCATGATGCCTGCAGCGATGCAAAAATTATATCAAGATGGACAAATAGTACGAGCACAAAATTGTCCTCAAGTTAGTTTATTAGTGGCTAGTTTGATTGGTGTAACAACGTTATGCCAGGAGAAAGATCCGGTTGAAATCATCGATTTTTTAAATATATTATTGGCTCAATTTGACAGCTTGCTAGATACTTCATCTATTTATAAAGTAAGTGTCATGATTATTTACTTCTTTATATTTAGTTATCAATTTAGAGTAAAAATTTTTCATTAACTATATCGATGTTTTCGTCCAGTAACATCGTAAAGAATGAAATTAAATTTAGTAGCTATCCATGTATTTCATGTATTCGAATCTTGTAAACTTCCTTTTCACTATTGGCTATAAAAAAGTACGAATTATTGCGTTGAAAGAGAATCATTTAAGCCGTAGAATATTATTAGTCTTAATTTAACTATCAGTTGATAGTAAATAGTAGCTTAATAGCGTGCAGGAATATCAACGTAGGCATAATACAAATAAGTTTGAGTTTACTGCTAGTACTCTGTATTGCAAGTGTTTTACTATGTCACAAGTTCTTCCACTCCATCCTTAAATGTGCAGAGATGTCGATAGTAAATTTTTCTGCACAATTAGAACCCGATAAAGCAATAATGCTAATTTAGTTAAAAGTGAGGAATCTCTGCAAATTAGAGTAGCTCCTGGATCTGATTGCGTACTATATCCTTTCTAACTGCTATACTTTATGCAATTAAGCATTCAGTTTCAGAAGTTATTATTATAAAAGAAATTGCTGTTCACTAATATACGAGGCTTTTAGATAACTTTACAAGAGCGACAGGATAATAAACAATTTAGCTCCGAAAATAATCATTAACAGATAGATCGCTAGTATCTACTTAATTTTTCTAATGAATAATGCATTAGATACTCTTTAGTAGATCTAATCGGAGGAATAATTGCTATACACATTATCGAATACATCAATGTCAATTTAATAAGACGATTACTTTTTAGTAGTTACTATTCTGTCATTAGATCAAAGCAATTTAGAAATTTACATGGCTTAGTGAATATTTACAATATTATTAAAATATTTGTACCCATTTATTAAATTTATAGTGTATAATTTGTTCTATTTATTATGCCTATAATTAGATTGATGCAATCACATGAATTACTAGATGAATATTTAAAACATTTCTACAGACAGCAATGTCAATTTACTAAAATCACACGAGATTATTCATATCAATTTTATTATTTAATCAGGTTGAAACAATTGGTGACATTTATATGGTCATTAGTGGATTATCGCAGTCACGAGACGATCATGCTGAGATTGTTGCTCAGTTAGGATTGAATATGCTAGATCAAGTAGATTCCATATTGTCACTTGATGATAATCGTTCTATTCAGGTAAGCCTTACTAAAGTGAAAGCCTAGTGAAAGTTGTATCAAATAGTAGACTACAAGATTATATTGTTGAGTAACATTAAGGCTAAAGAATGTATATAGATCATGATTTTTGATATATGACGCAGTTGTACTAGCATTTTTGCACATTACCTATAAGATATTGACGCGTCCCTAGATATAAAGTATAAACTGATCATGTTCTACTACTAATTTAAAGAACAATTGATAGCTCAAATTTTATAACTATAGTTCCATTTTATATTGCCTATGATTAAAGCTTCGAATAGGTATCCATTCTGGCTCGGTAATTACGGGAGTCATCAAAAATGCGGTACCTCGATATAGTGTCTTTGGTAATGCAGTTAAATTTGCTGGTCGCATCGAAAGTTATGGAGTACCTGGAACCATCCACATTAGCTCGGCAACACAACAGTAAGATGTTGATTCATGACGATTAGAGAATAAGTCAGAATGGATTTCAATTGCAAATACTGTAGTTAATTTAAAAGCTTAGTTAGAAATGGATTATATAGAGTGAATTAAGTAACAGAAACTGATATAACACAAAACAAACCATATTCTCTAAGATGTAGGAAATCAAAACAAGAGCAATTCTAATATTATAAATCTAAACAATTAGTAAAAGCTGAGTTAAATGATACGTCTTTTAATCTATAAAATGTATCATACGCGTGTAAATAAGAGCTCATATATCGACTTGCATAGCTTTAAACAAAGTTAGAATATGAAGAGAAGATGTAACCAATGGCAGATAGAATAAATAAAAGTAGATTCCCAGATAAAATTAGCACATGCAGTTAATAACCATAATCGATAGCCGATAGCCATGGCCAAAAATAAATCAGTCTACCGATTACGACTTAAATTTTATTGAACGCCTTATAACAAAACTTGTTCTTCTAATGGTAATTAGAGTGTAGATCACACATGTAATTTTATGATAGCAGATTTTATCACCGATTCTCTATCGTTTGAAAAACTACGTAGTAGTACAACAAGCTCTGGCAAACAAGGAAAACTTCCTACAACAGCAGATCTTAGAAAGAAAGAGCTAAGAACAACAATAACAGAAAAGCTTAACTGTTTAAATACGTTATCTAACTTGTTTAAAAATAAAAATTGCGAAAATCATCACTTAACACTTATAAAACTTAATATGAGAATAAAATTTTATGATTAGTATCATATTCTATGAAGCTGAAATCAACATACTTGAATTATCATAAACATTACATTTATATATACCTATTATTGTCAATAGTCCTAGATTTTGCTATTATTTTTAAGTTATGTCTAATTCACATCTATATAACAAGTTGACAACAATAGCTTATCCAACAGCTCCACTGCACGCCTCTACATATTTTTTAATTTATCAATTATAAAGCTATATCTTTGAACAATATTTAATTACTATCGAGATTGTAAAAATGAGATTTAAAGAATTATAGTTGTAAATGATCATGCAGTATATTATCTTTACACAATAAATTTTATTTATAGAAGCGTTATTAATTACAAGATATTTTTGACCACTAACACTAATATTTAATATCGAAACTCTGGATATATCATCATTTATTTAATCCATACATAATACAAAGTGTTTTATTTTTGCAGGTTACTCAAAGGTAACGAACAGTTTCAATTACAAGAACGAGGTGAAATGATAGTCATCGGTAAAGAAGTCACGAAAACCTATTTTGTCTTACGAAGAAATCAAGTTAGTATCACAGAAGACATTATTGCTGATTCCAACGACGGTCAAAGTGATAGAGACAGACCGGTAGAATGGACAATTACCTATAAAAGTTTACAAATTACAGATTCCAATTCCTCATCATTGAAAGCAGGCCACAAAAAGTATAGCAAAATACTAAATCCTCGCAATCGTTCAAATGGAATCGAAATCAATAATATCAGTACTAATTATCAAAATCGCGATAGCGGAGATAATGTTTCTAGTAATCAACAAAATTTATTAAATAATAATAATGTTGGCTCTCCATCAAGCACTACACCAATCGTTAATATCATTTCAGATGTCCCTGTTAATCAGCTTATGAATTCTACATTAGAAGAATTTAGTAGTGATGCGGGAACGTGCACGACAACAATCGCATTTGAAGATAATTTAGATTCCAAAAATCGAAAAGTTGTTGACACTGTTGCTGGCTCTAAAACTGCTATTTGCAACATCGCCTAATACGCCAATTTTATTAGTGATTTATAACCGAAATCGATGGCCAAAATATTCCGCGTTTCAAGGTTTAATTCAATGGCTAGCTCGTTTAACTTATAAATTTAATTTATGAATTTATAGCTATTTATTCCGTAGCTTTGCTGTAGTTACTTGCAGATAATAATCATTGCAAGCTGATTTATTTTACAGCGGTATATTAATTAATAATCAATATTCTTGTGATATTAACAATCATTTAATAGCAATATAAACTGTATCTTAGTTGCTCATGTTGATGTATTGCGGTAATAATCATCCTAGCATCACTTACATAGTCTGGGTCAAATCTGCTAGGTGAATTAATGCTGCTCAATAATTGACTTTAAAATGAATTACCTGCTATTCATACGTAAATATTCCTTGTATAGCAGATAAAATTGTATTAGTTTGATAATAATCACTCTTAATATTCTTGAAAATTATTTCCAATGTTAAATAATGATAATTTGGATGACGTACAAGTATTAACTATAATTTCTAATTACCATAGCTGAACCTCTTCCATCTATATAGCAGGTTAAATTATCAAATTAAAATTCTATTAGCTATCGTATTCATCATTAATAGCTCTAAAAGGCTGTCTATTGGGCAATTTTTATACTAAGTTTGTAAAGGGATCGCAAATAAAATGTTGCTACGTAAAATAGCATATACACAAGTAACATAATAAGAATACTTACGTCGTATGTGTAAGCTTACAACAAGATATATTGTGTAGAAAAAGAAACTAAAACTTGAACTTACGAATTTGGGTAGAATTTCCAAATATTGTAAACGTAAAATATAAGAAATAAATGACATGTATATATATATTTATTTCTGATATAGCAGAATGAAGAATATTCAATTAGCATTTATGAATTAATAGAAATTATCTATTGGATTCCATAAAATATTTAGAACTTGTATTTACCTCTCTGAAGCATCTACGATCACATATGATTAACTAGTAGTGAGTGATATTATTTCGAAGATCTTCACCTAGAAATCATTTAGATATCTGCATATGGGTACAAAGTAAAACCTTATCATGCCGCCATCAAAGTTACTGTAGATGTATCAATAATGAAATTAATAAATCCGAACCATTATAGCCCTTAAAATATTAAATTTCTACGTGCAATAATTAATAATGTAATTTGACCCGACTTAGAAACCATAAAAACGAAATAAGACTTGTATTAATTCCAGTATTTTAGCACTGCAATCAAGACACTTCATCTAAATATATTAACAGTAAAAATCCTCACCAAGAAAATTAATAGCAAACAATACCATAATTGGGGTGTGCTTTTACTCGCTTGAGTAACTAACATACTGTTACAATAATGTAGCTATTCCATATCAAATCTCAATACGTTGATCATCTTAGTTTAGATGATCTGGTTAATCATAAAAATTGAGTTATTTGCGAATATACAAATCACATAACTGAAAAAATTTAAACGAGAATATCAATGTACGATGACTCGCACATATATGAAATAAAGATTTATTCACTAATCATATACTTATTACATCAGCCTAGTAGAGCAATACTCATTCGACGTCGGTCTTAACGAAATATTTTGCGCTGCAGTGAAATTTTTATAATCACTCCATGATTTTAAAGATAAAGCCTTGCAAAAATATCATTGCAAGGTGGCATTTTTATGTACATAATTTCTCAATACGTTGGAAGATGGAAGCAAATGATGGTCTGTCTTCCGGTTTTTCATACCAACAATCCAACATTATTTGGTAAACACCTGGCGGACAATTTTTAGGTTCACTCATCCGATTTCCCTCTTCAACAAATTTCAAAGCCTTACGATTATCCATATCAGGATAGGGCATATGGCCATAGGAGAACGCTTCCCATAATAGCACTCCGTAGCTCCAAACATCACTTTGGGTAGTGAAGCGTCCATAATGAACAGCTTCTGGTGCTGTCCATTTAATAGGCATCTTTTTTGTCCGATCAGTAACTATAATCAAAAAATTAAGCGTTTTTCAAACAAAAAAATTAAGCTCATAAAGCCTTCACTGCATAGGGATTTACCGCTATCATTAACTTAATTCCTACAAAAACTTATCCAGAATTCTTAGTAAAAATTAATAGGTTTATTAACCCAAATAGACGTCTTCATCATCTCCTTCCCGTGCCATTCCAAAATCACTTATTTTTAAAGTATAATCGCTTGTCATTAGGCAATTGCGGGCAGCCAAATCTCTATGGATGCATTTTTTACTTTCTAGGTATGACATCCCACTCGCAGCATGACACAGCATTTTTAGTAATAGCACCGGGCTATGATCTTTGCCTATAAAATTATAATCCAAAAAATAGCATAAATATATTATAATAATCTAGATATCAACTATAAAATGATAGTTTTCCACCAATAGAAATTAGGAAATATCTAGTTGAAGATTTAATATCAACATCAACATTAAAATATCATTAATATGTAATAAAATTTACTCTCAAATACGGAATTACGAGTGTATTGCAGCAATTAAAGAGCTTACTTTTGTTACGCAGATAACTATGAAAGTCTCCACCGTCCATAAACTCCATTACAATATAGACTGGTTCTTTATCAGCACAAATACCTATCAATCGCACAATATGCGGATGTTCGTACTGTTTTAATATCTCTGCTTCCAGCAAAAAGCGCTCTTTCAGGGTTTCATCTAGAGTTCCTTTACATTGTTTAACAGCAACCGTTAGACCTGACCCTCTCAATGTCCCTAACATAACTTCACCAAAACAGCCTTCGCCGAGTTTTTTACTACAGGCAACATCTTCATGTTTTATAATCAAACTTCCTCCATCCTTCTCTTTTAGTACTGGATTGGTAATTACAGCAGGCGACTTTTTTAACAGTGGTACTGCGTTGCTCCGATGATAGTAGAGTAATTCTTGGACGGTTCCAAAAGCTTTCTCTTCAAATTTGAAATACTATGAATAATATTGACAAGTAATAGCAATTATGATAATTGACCTTGATGCATATATCTATAAACGATCTTAAATACACTACTTATCTGAAACATACCCCATTTTCTTCTTTGATGATAAAGTGTAACCCTTTACCATTATAACGAGTCGTTAATACCATTTTCTTTTTATTACTTTGGTCGGAATCATCGACCTTATTTGGAGAGATTCTAATTAAGTAATCACCATCGTATTCTATTAGTTTTTCCGCTTCTTGCCTAGTAAATTTGCCATAGAAATACGGTTCTTCTTCAATTGGCACGCTAAGATTTTCATATGTTCTCTAACAAGAGATATATTTCAATTGCATATAAATTTAACGAATTAACGATACTGCTTAATGCATTTGTACTTGCGTCAAGTAATAAGATAATTAAAATTTGGATATCGATCTATTATATAGAGTATATATATGATCGTTTTATCAAAAGCTTACGCTAATAGTACGACCATCGAATGTGTCATCACAATAATCATCGCCAGTTGATTCTTGTAGTTCATCTGATAAACTGGAACCACTTTCGTATGCAACAGGGCCAGCTGATTTATATTTATCATCACTAGTTTGAAAAAGCTTCTTCCATTTCTTGAGCGGTTTCGGAAGTAAATTTGGATCAGACTCGCTACTCTATGGTAATAAATCGATTAATATACATTAAATTGCAAAAATGTAAAATTGTCACTCTTACGCTTTATAAATGCACTAAATAAATTATCAATTAACCTTTAGCCGACTTCTCCTTGCAACTTTGGAGTCTTCTGGTACTTCAGGCAAGCTTGTTTCAAATTCTAATGTATTACCCCTTACATCACTTATAGCTGTATGTATAACATTCACTTGGCTATTTAATTTATTTAAATCACATCTAAGTTTCCCAATTTCAATACTAATTGCTATTGATTCATCAAATTTACTGATGTACCTGATTAAAATGCAAACCAAAATAATTTATGTTAATCTAATTGTCGGATTTCGCTATGAAAATATTAAGTACCACTCAGAGTTTTTCAAAATATTTAAATTTGGATAAAGTACAAGTTACATAAACATGTACACATACTCATCCTTTATTCGATGCTGCTCGTTCCAGTAAGATATTGTCGATAGCTCATTTCGTAATTTCAAAAGATTTTCCGTCTGTTAATAAAAATACAGAAATTACATTACAGGAGCCTACTTATACTTCAGCATACGAATAAGTACTCTTCAGATGATATCAAATAGTTGTCAGGCAATTACAATATGTGAACGCATGAGAATTACGGCAAACAGATATAGTAATATATATGATACAATTACATGAGAAAAATTACCTGTTTATTTAATTCTTCCTGCAAGATCGAAACATCTGTTTTCATATTCTCTTTTCTAAAGCAACAAAAATTAAAAAGTACATCAGCATTTCGAAGACTCAGATTACTATCGAAATTATCATGACTATAAATTTTGCTGGGTAAAAATTTTCTAGTGAAACCATTTATTTAGTCAATTGGTATAGTAAATTTGACCGCTATAATAATGGTTGTTATCATCGGTAAATATGCGTAAAAAAGCAATTACTTTGCACATAAAGAATCGTAATTGAGATCATTTATCGAGATGCCATTTGACTTTAATCCGGGTATTTCTGTATTTGCCGGAAAGTCTTCTGAAACCTGATTACGAGGTGGTTTCTCATCTCTTAATAAAATCAATTAGTTAATAGGGACACGTCAGTAAATTAGTTGGGTATTCGAAAAAAATTGAATAGAGTTCAATTGCAAATAGATTGCAACAAACATGATGTACTATAATTGTGAAAGCCATTTAAGAAGAGATGGCAGCTTTACTTAATAACCTATTGCTAAAATATATTAAAGTATGAAGAGTCAACGTTACGTATCTTCACTAACCTATTGTTTGTAATGAATTCCGTGAATTCATTTTCGTTCGATATTTCTTGAATGGCTGCTTCCATATCAGTTTTAAAATTCACCATATCTTCGCAGGCTAGCGTAAAGATATTACAGGTTTCCTTTAAAATTCCTTTCCTATTAGGGTAAATATTTAATAGAAACAGAAATAAAAGAAAGGGAATATATTAATTAATCGTCAGTACCGCATATGCGAGTTTATCAATACATTGATTTACGTAATATAAATAAAACGTATTTTTCCCTTATCATTTTATAAAAGAATAGTATAGATAGTATCCCAGTAGTACTACACCTTACTACTATAGTATATTAATGCTAAAAAAGTTGCTATAAAAGTCTACTTTAGTAGAAATTATTCTCTTTTGCATAGACCTACATTTCAGATATGTGCATGACATGTATGTCTTCAGCAGCATTTAATAATGCAGGCAAAGCATAGTCTTCATAGCCGGATTGACATTCATTATATGCAACTTGGCTTAAGAAGTATTCATTAGAGACAGTAAATAAAACTTTAGCTGCCTTCATATATCGGTCTTTCGCTTGGTCATACTTTTTACCACTAGACTTTCCTTTATTAACGATATCTTTCAATGATTTTAAGGCGAAATTAGCATCGCGTAGTCGTGATAGAAATAGTTGGCGATGCTGCTCCATTACTTGACTATGCCGTGTACGTGTACTTTCCAGCGATCGCCGATTAGCAATATACTTGTTAATTACATTCTTCTTACGAGTAATCATTGAATCCAAACGCTCACATAGCGATGCAGAATATGTAATTGCTTTTTTACCATATTCAGAGCATAGATTATCAACGGATTCAACTATGGAAAGCCACACCTGTAACAAGATGTAGTCATTACTATCGAAATATGCACGCACTACATTGTTATACGAAGTCGTAGTCCGAAAGTAAAACTTAAAACAATATCTGCAAGTCAGGAATAGATCAGTTGTAGAATTAATCTGAATGTATTGTACGATTCTCACGAAGTTTTCTTATAAGTTCTATCACTTTTCAACAAATTACATAATTATTCTTTATTCGTGAGTGCAGTTATACACAATTTACTTCGCCGAGGATTATGTATGGATACCAGATGATAGTCAATATTGTTTAGTAGATTTAAGCTAAGATGTATAGAATAGTATTCTAGGATTTTCTACGAGTTATTAGTTTACTGTAACCACCCAACAGTTTAGGGGAAATGAGCGAACGGCAATAAAAAAGAGAGTGACTTTCGTTAAATAACTGTCGAGCAATAAGTACAATAATGATAGCTGTTTATAATTTTAGTATAGTTTCAATTCTTTATGCTACATTTTAACTTAAATGTATTGGTTTTGTAAACATATGAAAGCGACAAAGGCGTGATTTAATAAAAATAAACACAACCGCAGTTGGAATAATCGCGAATGATGATGTTAAACTGCTGAATACAAGCAAATTAATACGATTAATTATCAACTTCCGCAATAATTATATGAACTCTCTTTATGTTATTTAAACGGTCAATTAAGTCAAATTTTATAGTGCTGATAGCGCTTTAAATGCCAATATTTGGTTGAAATCAAGTTTGTCAAGGTGATACGCGTATGTACTCGTATGCAGCAAAATCTGTGTATTGCGGTGCAGGCAAGAGTACATTAATACATGTCCTGAAAGAGCGATAAAATCTTCTTTAACTCTTGATTAATAACTACTACCTATGTACATTTTTAATCCTTCTAATGACCATGGATAAAAATCAAACTACGGAGCGTCTTTATTTATCAGATAGCTTGAATATCACCGAGATTGTTATTTTCGCATCAATATTGTATGCCGTATAAATTAACAAGCGTAGGCATTCCATGGAGAGCTTTTCCCCTCTTTGTTTACTGATAGCAAGAGCTTTAAGAAGCAAGAAGCAAATAGTAAATGAGTAAAATGTTTCAAATTGACTCTATTTTTGTGTGAAAATGAAGACGTCTGTTATTAAGGGAATTAAATAAAGAAACTATTCTAAATTAATGCATCAGTTACAAGAAATAGTGTACTAAAACAGTCGTGGATTCAATTTTTTTTACTTTCGGTAGCAAGTTGTATTGTAACTCGGGTCTCTTTAGATAGCTGTTCAGGGTTCATGTACTGCATGTCGACCATTTTATCCATCATCAAAATTATTTCAAGGTCTTTGTAAAATCATGGCAAGCTGTTATTCACTTCATATACTGCTGGGCAGTCCTTCACGATGTATCAAAAACTAATCTTTCGCTGCACGGTTAGCGGAGGTTGCTACTGTATATTGGCATGGGTGTGATACCTTATTATAGAAATTGTATCTGGTCCATTATCCAAAGATAATGATTAATCTATTGGACTGATCCGGAGATATTTTTCCATTCTGACACTACTGTATTTCAAAATTTGATTGAACGTAAACGATTTAGCCTACAAAAATGCCTAAATGTGATACCTTGACCGTCGCCATTTTTGATAAAGACGCAAATGCCGCCATTGTTGCTTTGTTTGATTTACTCTTAATCTATGGTTGATTCTTTGTTACGGGATAGGGCATTAGTACAGTACTGACCAATTTTTTACTTTCAACTTTTACAATAAATAAAGTGGCAAACTCTTGTAACTTTCCAAGGTCTACACTCTAAAGAATATATATGCATCTATATCTAAAAGGTGATCAAGCTGAGTAGTCTTGTCTGTATAGTACAGTATTAGAATTATCCAACTTGTAATTTACTCATCAAGCCATGGAGCAACAAGCTCATCGAGCAGTTGGATATGCAGCGATTAACAATTTATAGTAGTATCTCGACGGAACACTGACTTTTACTGTAATCAAGTAGTTCATCAAGAGGAAGTGTTACAATAGTAACGATGTATCTCTTCATTGCGATAATTCTATAATGATGAATTTATTTGATCATGATCATTTTGGAACTGTAGATTTGCTCGACAATAAGACGGATTAGGATAGATAAAATCCTACAATACACAATTTATTAATTTCCATTACCTCCATGGTTTTATTAATTCCGTTATTTTTCATTCCAAGTAAGAGCTGTTTCATGCCATATTCATCATTTAGTTGAGCGATTTGTCGAGCATACTCTTGATCAACTTTACCACGTTTCTTAATATATTGCTTGGTCTTCTCTAAAATTCGGACTTCGTTATCAGCAAGTTTAATTAAAGCCTCATTGGCTGATTTACCTTGTAAAGCTTCACCAAATCGAGTCATTTTTTGCTCTTTTTAATTAATTTAAAAAGTGGATGTACGTACTACTTCTTGAAAATTTTCTAGCGATACAACTAGAGTAAAAAATTGTATTTTCAACAGAAAATTTTACGCCTTTACCAATAAATAGAAAGCGATTACAATATTCTAGGCTAGAAGCTCGTGACCGCCTATCGTAACCACTATCCTCCAACCGCGATGGACAGTGAACTGGAAACCCGGAAACACTATACAGTAGATTTAAAATTCCAATCAGTACCCGTATACGCGAATCAGAATGGAAAGTAAATGATGGTACCCTAACAACTACAGCGTGTCAGAAGACTGTAATTAATTCTTTATGCAGTATTATTGGGTGTCAAAGTGCGATTGTACAGTAAGTTACTATAGTCAGTAAACTTACCCGTTAATTAATAACTAATTAATTAACCTGTTTATCAACTGCTCCAACTCTAGTGGAAAGGATTTTTCACCCGCTCTAGACGCCTACAGTATTGCACTGTACAGTCAGTACAGTACAGTACAGTACACTTCACGGCTACTGTAATGTACTGTACTGTACACTGTACCGTTAACTATTTATTCATCTCTGTGTACTGTACTTTAGAGTGCCTAGTTTTCTTCTGTCGCACTCATCAGGTGTAGAGTCTGTAGTCTGACGACGGTAAGCACTTTTTCCTTTCATTCACTACTACATTTCAGCACTGTACTGTACGTTACTGTATTGCAGCTGTGCTATGCCATGGACTACTAAAAAAACGGAATTTTGGTAGTCTACTATGGCTGTGCTATATGTACTGTATTGCTTAGAGTCGTCGCTTTAGTGAAAGTTATAAGGATCTTTCTATGTCAACTACTGTCCTTTCAAAGCAAACTGTTGCATTCATACTGCTGGCGTCATCTATAAAGAATAGGATGCACCGCACTGTAGCCAATAAACCCCTCCAAAAAGTTTTAAGTAAATTTCGAAGTCACAACTTTCTTTATTAATAAGTTTTTAAGCGCTATATTTACTTATTTGCGTTAATGAAATACATGAAATGGGGTTTTTGCAATTGTCTAGTAAAGCACTCATAAATAATAACTACAAATAATTACATTAATCTGTAATTATGAGATTTACAGTGCTATTTCTTGTTATATAATGTTCAACTAAATGAATAAAATACATAGATGTGTCTTCAATCTTTAAAAGCTAATTCAAAATCGTCAAAGCTGAAGCCTCGGTAGTTCCAGGGCAAACAGTTAAATATATATAAGTAATATATAAACTCGTACAGAAACCGTACAATATTGTCAAATAAGTGCGATTCACGTTAGGTTATATATGCATTGTAATCTCTTTAGGATTCGATAGTTTCCTTTATTTACGATATTTTTGTTGAAATTGCTTCATAAAGTCGACCAGTTGTTCCGTTTCTTCCACAGATACCGCATTGTACAGCGATGCTCTGATACCACCAACAGAACTGAAAGAAGATAAATCAATACTTGTTAGTATACATATCCGTAACGCTCTGCACTGATCATCGAAAGTAATTCGGATCAAAGTTATTCTTAAGAATTACCGGTGTCCTTTGAGATGCATAAATTTACGCTCGCCGGCTTCTTTTAGGAACTTCTTTTCTAATTCGTCATCGCCATTCTCAGATCCAATCCTAAATGGAACATTCATCCTAGAGCGATCTTTCTTACAAACAGGTGCTCTATAAAAATAGTCCATATATGACATTCTTTAATTCACATGTGAGTCCTTCATGAAATCATTTATATATAAGAGTACTTACACGTAAAACCCATCCGAATTGTCAATGACATTGTAAACCTTGCTAGCCTTCAATGCACTTCTTTCACTCATGGCTTTGGCTCCACCCTTCGATACAATCCATTGGAATACCATGCCCATAATGTAGATACTGTAAGTTGGAGGAGTGTTATAAAGTGAATTCATTCCAGCCGTAACTTTATAATCCATAACAATAGGGCAATAGGAACGTGCATTTCCAATCAAATCCTCACGAACTACAAATGTTTTCAATGAGTAAGATAACACTTTAGGCAATGCTGTTGATCTACAGTACTCCAATTACAAACAATGTAGGGATTACGTTCATGTGCAATAGTTGATTATAAACTTACCGATAACAATGGTGACGCCAGCACATCCAACATTTTTTTGCGCTCCAGCATAAATCAGTCCGAACTAGAAGATTAAACTCAATTAGCTAGGAGAAAAATAACTAAGTACTGATAATAAAAACTACATTACCTTGGAAACATCAATTTCTTTTGAGAGAATATTCGACGACATGTCACATACAAGTGGTACACCCTTGGTGTCAGGAATATCATGGTATTCGACACCTGCACATACATAATTAAATTAGAACTGAATAGTAAACATAAAAACTCCATAATGTATCTTCTATACTTTCGTTTATTCGCAGAATGAATGACGAAATCTAAATATCACAGTTTCACATCGATCGGCTTTGTTTCAATCATGCAAATCGTTGTCACAACAGTCACTTAAAAACTATCCGATGATGCACACTGGAAACGAAGAAATCGTCAAACACGCTCTAAATAGTTCTACCTAATACATTACACGGCACATCAACGTAACAATATACAATTACGGTAAACTAATATGAAGAAAATTGCTAAATATACGTACATATATCACAATATTAAAATCGTTTATCAGCCGCTCTCTTAGTATAGTACAATAATAAATGTAACTTTAGGTAACTCGAGATGTTACTGGTAAATTTGAATTATAGTATAGTAGAATGCAGGCAAGAGTTGCAGGAAAAAATTGTACTTGCTGAATTGAACGGCTGATAAAAGCTCTCTAACTTAACTACTGTATTGCAGTTATAGAAAGAGCATCTTTACCGCATAAAGTAGCTTTAGTTAATAAACATGTGCTACTGTATTTGTGAATCAGGTACATAAAGCGATATTTCGGAAAGGAGATTAAATTATGCGTTAAAGATGCCTTTCATAAAGTATAGTACGCTTCAGCTCGCAAGCTTGTGCGTAGAACTTTATAGTACCGTACAGTAACGTATTATAACATACATGATAACTTTACTATAGCATACTCTAGTAACCTTTAGACGCATTTACTATTACGTTTCTGGCTGAGCTGAACGCTCCCAAAAAGACTGGGTACATTACAAGCACCCGATTTCATCAAGCTAAAGGCGCAACAGAGGTCAATAAACGGCAACAATATGTAAGACATGACAATTAACAATAAAAAGAAACAGCTATGTATTATGTATCGCTGCCACTGTGAACTTGAGTTATTCCTCTCATAAATCATCCATTCTAAGTGCTGTTTAACCTTTTACGTAATCTAGCGTAATCTATGACTAAGGCAAACAGGTATAAGAGCATTCAAGGCATCACAGCAACAGCGAAAAGATTTTCATGCCAAGCGACAGACACCAAAAATAGAAAATGGGTAAGGGATCTGGTCCGGCACTTCAATGCAACCGGAAATTATCTAATCACTACCAAGCAGTTAAGTTTTAATGCGTGCGAAGACTATGGACAAGCGTATCAGAAATAAAGTGTCGGGAATACTGTACTTCTTAAAAACAAATTCATGAATGAAAGAATGCAAGCAAGCATAAGATGGTCTAGAGATAAGTGATTAAACGAGCATGCTAAATTACTGATGAATCATAGCGACGATGCGAATATACGTAAAATCGAGGGGTATCAACGAGGTTGCACGTCACGTTCGTTACAAATGCAGCGTCGGCGACGAGTTTATACGGCATAAAGAAAGCATACACCTAATTATATCGAATTGACGAGGGAAATATTTTACCGACAACGATTTTCTCTAATGATCATATCATAAATATGTAAATGCGGCGTAGATTTGTATATGGGTGAATGTTTGAACTTCTCTTTTCTAAAGTTACAGCGATACGGCCATGATAAATTTTACTGTAAACCATCGTACGACATAAAATTATGATAAAATAATGTAAACAGCGCTTTAACGGAACGGACAATGAATATCTACACAGACAGTGTAAAAACACCAACTATTTCATTGATGCAATGACAATCAGGATGAATTGGTATTTAAGTTCGGAAATTTTGACTGAGATTGAGACAAAACCCAAAACATTAAAGGGAAGACTAATCAGTTTTTGGCCATTTAAGGATAGGAACTAAGTAATAGATCGTAATTTTGGACCAATATTCAATTCGAATGGCAATAACTCGACAGAGATAAAGTATTACGATCAGAGAACATAGTGTATAGTATAATACTTTAGGCACAAAATCAGTACCGTAGTACTTACCGTGAATAGTCTCATTAGCGCAGATATAGACATAGGAAGCCTCAGGGTTCAAATTCCATTCAGAAAAGTTAGGAATACCTATAAGTAAAAGATTATGCTATACGTGCTTGTTTCGCTCGAAGCATAATTTCATGTTGGAAAGATTTAACTAACCAGAATACTTTTTAGTCTTGGGGATCACACGATTCACAGTACCGAACTTTTCGGCTTCAATAGCAGCCTTTGCAGACCAACTACCAGTGACAACGTAGTCTGCACAACCTCCTAGTATTATTTTAAGTAATTTTACGATTATTTTCGATTATTTATTATCAAAAATTGAATGCATACACGGTAAAAACAAATGATAAGAAAAGTACAATTTATTGAATTCTACAACTCTATTTTAATTTAACACTGTACTGTACAGTGTACGATTTTACAATTGATAACAAAACAAAGTGCAGGCTAATGAAAACATACGTTGTGATCGGTCATGATCAACACCTTATGAGTTACCATTTTTTAAAGTAAAGTATTATACGGTCGGCACGTACTGGACCGTACTGTTCGATGATTAAAAATACGGCCGGATAAACAAATATGTGATCAAAAACAAAATATCAGAGTACAGTACAGTATTGCATCACTACTTTACGTAAAGTACTGTACAGTATGCTGTCAAGAATGAAGATGATTGTGTACTTTACACTATGATCGGGGTACATTGGTACTGTGTATCCAGCAGCGAACTGTTTGTCCTCAATTGTTAAAGAGTTAAAAACAGCAAGCAGGCGGCGCGGCGGGTACATAGAGTGAAAAACATCAACGATGGTAGAGTAAATACAGAGCGGTAGAGTACAGTACAGCACGATACGTGCCCAGTACTGGGCATGAATGATCCATATTTCGTAATCTTTGGTATCGTACACTGCCGTAAATAGTTTACTGTATGACGTTATTAACAGGGACTACTACTGTAATGGCTGTTATTACTACTACTCTATATACTGTACCAGTGTACATTGGCGTATATGGATCAAACGTAGTAATAATGGAATGTTGTCATACCTTCCTTCATTAAGTTCAATGGAACAGATGCAAATTGACCTGTGCCACCTCCTTGCATGAACAGGACTTTGTAATTATCTGGGATGTTACTGAAACACCAAGAAGAACAAATGAGTTCTAATGAACGAAAGTAACTGTAGATATTGTATCATCGTACGAGGAGGAACGTCAACTTACAGCAACTGTCTTAAATTCTGTTCAGCTTCATTGATAACCTTCGCAAAGTCAGCAGATCTGTGGCTTAGTTCTAAATTACAGAAAATAACATTTAACATACATACGTACAGTCGTTCTTTAATCTTATCTCGCTTCATTTCAAAATCGATGCCACACTCAGTATATACTGTACTGTAAGCGGATCATACGTTACATAACATACTGTATAAACTACATGAAATGACGGGAATCTAAAGTAAAAAAGGGTAAAAACTAACCCATGACGCTCACACCGGTGCCACCAAAATCAACGAGTTCTTCTTGAGCCTTCTTTAAGACCTACGCAAGAGTAAAATGAGTTATAAATTGATCATTAAGAATAAGAATATTACAGTTACCATACAGAAATTTGTTCATAAAATAAAAACTTCTAGACTGGTTGCATTAGCTAAAATGCTAACCTCTTCAGGTATTTTGGCTGGACCAGGAGCAAAATTGATAACCTTAGTATTCGACATTTTCAAGAGCGTGATAGTAAAAGTTTTCAAGAAATTACAAAAGTAAAAGCGTTGCTAAACGACAGGGTATTGACAATCACGAAGATCCTCCCAAACTTCAGTCACAATGACGACTAGAGTGAATCAGACTAGGAAAGATCACCCCTTTTATAGATTTCGATGTTGTCATGTGATATGTGATTCATTGTTATAAAGGTAACCTATCAAGATTTTGCCAACGTGCGTGCGCGCATGCTACAGAATAATAGGGGTCATACTTTTCATACCGTTCAGCCAATATGGGTAAAGTTCGCTATCACGTGCCGCGACTTGACGGTCAATGATCAATTTAACTTCCTTAAGTAAATTACGGTACAGTACAGTACAGTACCGTACAGTACAATGCGGCAATGAATTATTGTGTACAGTACTGTACAGTACAGTACAGTACTGTATGTACAGTACGGTACATTACTGTTTAGTACATTTACAGTACTGTAAGCTACAGTACGAAATATGAATTACCCACAGTACTGTACATCTCGTAATGATCAAGAGATGTCTGGTAATTTTTAAAATGACCAGTGATGGAACAGATACGGACAGTACTGCAATATTTAGTATCCAACCCTGCAGATACATTTAATGATCAAAAGTGGGATTGGTAAATCCTAATACTGTACTCTAGAGACCCTTAGACTAATAAAAAGGGTCTCTACTATACGGTACACTATTGCACAACTACTAAAGTTTTACACATACTGTACTGTACAGTACTGTACAGTATTCGTACAGTACAGTATTCGTACAGTACAGTACTGTACTGTACAGTACGGTAGTGACGCCTGTGACATCATGAAAAGGGGCAGGACTTGTAGATCATGTGCAACTTTTGTGAGGTCAGTAGGTCAGTATTATTTCGCTACCAACCTATCACAGTCTTACTACCTGGTCACGCGGTGGTAATATTGAGTTCTGCGAAAATAATAATAATAATAAGCTGGAAAACAATTAACAAATATAATACTGGGCGGAAAGCACAACGAACAATATCATTGTTCGAAGTCTAATGACCAATAAACCAATAACCATGTCTGTACAGACAGTACAGTACAAAGGAGGGGTCAATGGTCAATTGGTCATTAGTCATTCTCAAAGCTCAATGTTACTTTGTATGACTCAGTGCGTACAGTACCGTATTGAACCCTACAGTAGACTATTACAGTACTGTACAGTACAATGTACTGTACATAGTACAGTACTGTACTGTACTGTATAATTAATTATATTATTAGTAGCCTTTGTTTGATAGCCTTTGTTTGAAGCAAGCAAGGCAAACTATACAGTACTTGGACTGTACTGTACGGTACAGTACTGTACTGTACTGTACAATGTACAGTGTACAGTAGTTGGTGTACTGTACTGTACTGTAATGAAACCTGAAAGCTTATTTATTTTTACAAGTCCATAGTCCAGGCTCAGAGGCCAGGCCGCGGCAGCTGTCCACTATGCCAGATCCTTATGCTACCATCACATATGCACATTAACTAAAGCAAATCTTATTCGTCTTTATTCGTATTTACAATCACAGTTGTGGTTGGAAAAAATTTCGATGACTTCCTCGATGGCTTCACAGTTCATAGTCCAGTAAATCCCACGGATAGTTGTTTGCCCGAAGGTCACTTTACTTTAGGCTTGTGGGCGATTAAAAATAAAAAACAAATAACAATAATCATATATTACACTACAAATATATATACAGTACAATATACCCGCATCAAAAATAATGTAAAGGTTATTTTCTTTTTATTCTTCAAGTACTGTATACAGTGTATATACTGTATAGATATATACAGTATATTTGCGCAAGTACCGCAGATTAACTTGTTTGGAAATGAGTGGCATACGCTGGGCGTGTACGTGTATATCATGTACTGTATATCAACAAGTAGAGAGAATGTCAAGGAAAAGAGAGAAAAGGAGTAAAAGTACGTATACAGTTGTAGCAATACACCGACAAGTGACAATTTATGCAGATATGTCATCGCGACGTAAATTTCTTGATCGTAAAGTTCCCCTCATAAAATCAATTTAATTTACCTTTCTTCTTCCTTGACATTCTGGCTACCTATTGGCGTTTGATGCTAGATCATTCCTTAATATCAGCGTACGATGACTAAGGATATACGAATACATTATAAAACTCTCGCAGTACTGTACTCCAGTACCGTATTAAATCCAAGCTGCTTAGAGAAATCGCTAGCTTAGTGATCAGTTTTTTTTCTTAATTCTCAATTTAAATAATAAACTTAACAATTATATTTACTAGTGTTAATAGAACTATAAAGTAGCTTTGTAACTGATAGCCTAATACGAGTATCATTATATACTGCAATTTCTCTGTATCATTAGAATACAGTCTTTGCATGAAATAAATGGCTTTAACCTTGGATTCGCGCCGTCACTTCTCCTTTACAGAAAATTAAAAAGATTCAAATCACTGTAAATCATGCTATTTCTGGCAATCTAGCATAATGGAACGGACGTGCGTTATTTTTAGTATGGCTGTTATGATGCCTTGCCACAGAGAGTATAAAAGGAGCGAGCTCACAACGACTAGGGAGTTCCGAAATTCAGTAGTCATAAAGGCTAGTCAAGTAACACAATAAATATATAATAAACTAACTTTCTAGCTGAATACTTTTCGAGCAATTGATTACCTATACGTACCCCGCGTGTATTAGGATATTAGTTATTAGAGGAGTTGACCGTTCACAAAGAAGAAATTTGTGACAACGGCAAATACAGTTCTATATAGCAAATATGCTCAAACACACAAAGTTCAACGTGTGGGATCTCCCTGAGCGACATATGCTATGATTATTCAGTATTTCAGCGATAAACATCTCTAAATTCAGTAATTTCTCATGCGCTTTAAAAGTCTCTTTAACTGCCGTACGCTTTATTCTCAAAGCTTGGCAGCCGATATAGCTTACAGCATTTCCTTAACTTTCTAAAGATTTGACTGCGAACTACCATTCTGTAGTATCGAATACTTTGTATTTATCAAGATACAGCTAGGTAGACGCGCTTGTGGTTGCTATTGTGATTGGTTTGGACAGGAAAACAATCCAATATTAGCTTTATGCATCTATCTATGTACTTTTAAAAAGAGTCGGTAACTTGCTCACACAGATTGTATCAGCATCGCAATGTAACTAGATTTGAAACACGCATTTTCAAATCAACGGAAGTAGTAGGCCCTAATAATAGAGAATTAACGTCGAATGCGTAATTCATACACATACATTTTATCTATCCAATAAAGCAATAAAGTTCAATTCAATGATCAAATATTCAATAAATCTCGATTATCTTCAGCGCTCTTGCCTCAGGTACGAGTAAAAGCTGGCAATTGTAAATGCCTTTGATATTACGGCTACAATACTTTCTCCGATATTCAATTAGAATCAACACAAATTATTCCTGCCGTCCTGGCTGGATAATATAAGTGTAAGATACGAATAAAAAGATATATTTGATAAATTGAATTGTGCTGCATTGAAATCATTGAGTTCTCTCTTTTCGTTAGTGTAATTTTATACCGGGTGCGATATTTAGTAATATAAACTTTTAAGCCATTTAAGGTTATACGAGTAAATAAGGAAATAAATTAATGTTTGGTAAGCATTTTAATTCTCTCGACTTAGAAAAACTATACAACACATATGTCACCATATACGTACATTTGCTGCAGGAGTATGCCTTATCTCCTGGATTATACTAGATGATACTCAAATATGATGTCGCATGCAGGCAAGTTGCCATGTGCACGAAAAGTATTGTAACTAGAAATAGAAATTAACGTAGATGCTACAATAACAAGATGAAGATTAATGTGGTACGGTATAAAGTAACTATCTACTTCCTTATATTGGTATTACATTCCAAGAACTAGATCACTGATCCCGTGGAACTTTCTAAACCATTAGTTGTGTAAACTTGTGTTACTAATATGAAGTGAATAGTGAATTAAGTCAATTGTTCAGTTACATAAGAGCATTCATTACTTCCGTATTAATATGATAGCGATTATAAGTATCTAGATTTCGATACATCCTACTCTAGTCCAGCTAATTAATATAATTATACGCCTAAATAAATAAAAAAATCACTCAATGAAAGCCTAATTAAATTCATTAGATTTGTACAGTAAAAATGTCTCCAAGTTAATACGGATATTGATTAAACGTAATTGCAGCAGTTCTGGTTTAAAAATGTGCTAGTAGTATGGAGTAAAGAAGTCTGTGACGTAGATTAGTTGGTTGTACAGTAATTAAATGAAGCAATTGTAGATTATTTCTGGTATAATGAAGTGTATGGCATATTACAGATTTGCTTTATTTCCAATAACTCAAATTTTCAGTGAGCAGATTATGAATTCTAGAGGTTAAAAACCCATCCATTACAATATGACAGAACTTTGATTTCTTGTTAAATTTCATTTCATTACATACAGTACAATATTACAATCTAAGCAGCAAACATACAGCCTTGTAATCTACTTTTAGGGCAACACTGCAGCTTACATCATTAAACTATCTGGTATATGGGACGAATCGCTCATATCGTACAAGTAAAATACTATTACCTATTATTTTCAAGTCTTTATAGAAAAACTGGTACTATATTAGTAAATCTATGCCCAATTAGATGATAACATCAGGATCAAGTTAAAGAAGCGGCACTTGTACCGCATTCTATTACCTGAGACGATAAATGTTTACTATCGTACTAATATCATTGTAGATGTAATCATTAGCATATTATTCACGAAAAAGCTAAATTAACATTACAATTAGCTTTTTATTTACTTAGTGCAATACTATAGAGCTTATTCAATTCTATTCTTTTAATGATCTGAAACTCCCTAGGTAGCGGTCCTTTAGAGATCATTTCGCCTTAAGCTGCGTAATGGGAGAACAAATACTACCAAAGTAGCGCATACTAGTTGTTAATTCTTACTAAGTTGAAGCTATCGAAGGGTGTGAGATCGTAAATACACTTAGAGGTGCAAGTTCAGAAAGCCTCTGTTAGAAAACGGAAATCAACTCAAATTCTACTCTACTTCTGCTCTAATCATGGTAGTTCTATCCGAAAGTTATACAGAACTTGCCTTCGTTAAAGGACTGAAATCGCTCCATAAATTTACTTCACAAATCTTAGCGACTTTGCGTAGCTACATCGAAAAGAGTGAACATTTCTCTACAGACATCCAAGATTTATACGATAAGCCCTTAGATAACGATCTTAAGGTAACTAGCGCACAACAGATGCAAATAGATAAACTATTTAAGACTCTGTTAGCATTACAGTACTTATGTCATCAAATCGAACTTTCTGCGTTATTGATCTTGATTATTAATGCTCAACTACTCGCTGATTAGTTCTTAATTTATGCCTGTCTTAAGATAAAGATGATCTCTATTAAAATAGATTTAGTTAGCGTCATCACACTTACAGAAAATTACTCAGAACTTGATTTCTAAAGCGTAACAAGCAATCAGTTATGATCATTAACTAGTATGAACTTTCATTAACATTTCATTACCTCATTCTTCGCTGAGTATGAAAAGCTTCGTTCAATTTTAGGATTAAAATCTAGCATCAAAGGAAGGTACATATCATCAGTTTTTCGGAATGTTATGACGTCTTACTAATACGTTCATGATGTGGTGCTCATAAGTAATTAAAGTTAGTTAAATCTATTGTTATCAGTAGAAAATATCGACTGAAAAGAGAGGAATGACATCAAGAAGCATTAATTCGTGACCGTTAATAAATGCTATAAGCTTCCATCTCAGTCAATCGAAAGTAAATTTTCGTGCAAGTTCAAAGTTGAAACTTCAAATAACTCATATGTCGGCACGGAAGTGTGATACGAAAAAATGATGCTATTGGACCTGAATAGAACTTACAAATGCATCGCAACCGTTGCAAGCGAAATAATGAATTAAAAATCATAGTTTTAAATTTCTCAAAAGAGGACTTTACGGTATATGGCCATCAGCTACGACCTTTTGTGTAGATAGCACAAATAATACTGCATGTCTACATCATTTCATCAAACCACTCATTATCTACTATTACTTTATTAGCACAACTAATTATGCTATGTCACATAGTATTTACCGTGCATCAAGTTACAATATATATTTATATATAAACTTTCAAAGCACTACTGTAAAATATAATTCGCTGAAATTACTACAACACGGTGTATATTAACCCTTATCAAGTAAAAGCTTTTACCAGAAGAACTATGTAACATTATGATCTTATATAGAAGATGCCTAGTATAGTAATATCCTAATATACGAATACTTATCATATACCGTTTAAGTACTGTATTGTATTACATTCATAATGTACGACATCATGACCACATATAGACGACATGCTATACATATAAAGACACTATCTCAATCCCATCTAAAACCTATAAATACCCTTGTACGCTAACTCGTTAGTCAGTTCCTTACGTTCCTGCTATCTCAAATACCTTATCTATAACAACCATATCATTGTTAGCCTGTAACTTGTATCTCAATAAAATCCTTTATACCTTCTATCATCGTCTACCTTAAAATACCTTACGCTACTTAAAGAAGATATTATTACAAACTATATTAGTATTTATCGTAGAAAAGAAGTACGTAGCGTACTTTACCATCATATTTTTACTGCAAAAATTACAATATGAATAGCCAGAGAATATTATTAAGGCCATACAAATAAGTAATATTGATTTCGATTTATTTATTTTTCGAAAATAAGAAAACTTCTGTCCATTATATATAGAAACTTTTCAGTTATCATACACTGTATTGCCAGTACACGTCTCTTAAATTTTGCATCTATAGAATTTGATCTTAGCTTTCAACACCGTAATTTACACATTTTGCTTCATTTCGATGGTAAGCAACGTATTGATATGGTTGTGCCAGATCCTTCTGTAATTTCTCTCAGAATTTGCTGGGTAATAATAGGGAATAACTCTTTATAATCGGTATTAGTGAGAATGATACTATGTAGATGATACAGTACATTTCATAAGTAAGTTTATTCACGCAAATTGTACATTTTATGCTTTAAATCATACATATTTTATTAGATATTTCAATATCTAACTGTACCGAATAAACTGAGAGTTAGATATAGTAGTATCATGTATCTGGATCATTAGCTCTCTACGGACTCTGCATACTCGTATTTGCAATTTATCATACAGAGACAAGAAATACCTTAGTTGACAATAAATATCATATTTCCTTGGAGCAACTCAAACGCAATTATAGGTGATTTTTAACACAGCTGTTTATAAGAACTATACCGTTAAAATAATGATCAGAATCATTACGGTTATTAAGCAACTACTGTACTGTATAATTTCAGGGTGGGCTAATACAATATCTAGTTTTTACATTACCTTTGATACATATCATCAGACTGACAATGGCATGACAAGATGTGCAGTTGTGTACTGTATTTATTGTCAATATAGCCTTATTATAATAACCAAGTTATGCTTATTATGATATTTTAGTTCTATCAAAACTTTCACTGATAGAATCACTTCTAATATCATGCTAAAATAGTAGGCAATTTTAAGATATTCACCTCTAAACATTGTATTGATATGACTAAAGATCTTACAGGATCAATCAGCAAAGACACTTCGATCCATGATAAACAGCGTTAGTCGACGTAATGAGGCTTTACAGAGTCAGTGGGAAGAAATGAAGGAAGTTGATAAAGAGCTGCAAGCGATAATTCAAAAAATAAAGGATTATCAAAAAGAAGTAAATAACCATTACGCTGAATTACATCACAAACATCAAAGCCTTTATGAAGATTATAAGGACAAGAGAGAGCAATTAATACAAATCCGTGAAAGTTTAATCGGACAGATGTATATATCCGAAACTCGCTGCATGGTAAAGTCAGCAAAAAATCAATTTGAGAAATTATTAAAGGACTATCATGCATTCAATAACGAGGTCGTTGTATCTGAGCTAACTTTGGAAATTGGAAAACACCAACAAGAACATATTTTTACTGATTTGTTTGAGCAACTACAAGTTTATCGCAATGCTTTAATGGCTAAATGGTAAGATATTTGCTTTTAAAGGCTGTCTATGTAAGCCATATTCATTTAAACAGAAATATCTGTAATAAATACTAACTGTAAGCAAGGACAAAAATTATTCTAATTCGATTTTGATAATTAAAAATTAATTATCAAGACTTCATTGTGCTCCATGACAATTGCACTTAGAGATTAAATTCGATCTACTTCTTAATACTATAATGAAGTATTCAGACTGCGTTGTTATAGTTTCATTCGTTGTAGAGCTTGAGAGTTTACCTTTGCTTTACTTTACGTTGGATGTAGGAATACCAATTTAGACAAATTTTGCAGTACGCTTGATTCACCTTTTTTTTCTAATCAAGAAATATTCATAAGACAAGATACGTAAGTTATAAGAGCTTTCAAATTAGCAATATTATGCAATTACATTCTTACAATATTTTATTTCTTAATTTGAATGTTTCTATTGGCGTGCGCAATTTCTGTTCTGTAATTTTAGAAACGAGAATGAAAATAGCTACGATACAGATTCCGTTCAAAATTCCGCTGGGGATGACACTTCTACTATTAGGTAAAATAGTAATTCATTTCTTGTGACTATTTTCACAAAAATTATTCATTTATGCAATGGATACAGTATATTCTGCAATACTTAATGAAAGAATTAGCATTACTCGAGCTTCAGGATTAAAAATTTTCGTAGATTAAAAGTATTTAGATCTATAACCTTACTACAGTGTAGGTATCCATATAGCAAAACACTAGTATCTTTCATGCGGCTGGCCTTGACCTAGCCACCCTATTTTATCTTGAAAGATAGCTATTTTTAAACTATATCAATATTATTATAAACTATGCTTAATCGTTTCCCTATCACCAGTAATTACAACACATAAATGGATTTATGTTGATATTGACAGACAAAACTACTTAAAGGCAAAATTTCTTTTTCCACATGATACCGACGATATTGATATCGATTCAATATATAAAATTAACGTATTCCGAATACATTTAGTTATAATTTCTTCAGCCCTACGTATAACCCTACTTACTTTATATCTGGGTGATAATCTTTCAACTTTATCAGTTCACTTTGCTCAAGTTATTCTATTATTAGCTAGCATGTCCAATAGTAGGGTGCTTTACGGTATATCATAGCTAGGAATTACTACCATACAATAGCTACTTCATTACTAATATTTCTTGTTTTTAGATCTGATCAATCGCCTAGATTGGGTAAAAACGATAAGCTAGCATATGTACAGGCCGAGCCGACGTCCAATTTGAGATTAACTAATGTGAATACTAATACAGAGGGACTTGAATATTGGAACAAAAAGAAATTAGAAAAGGAATTTCCATCGACAGAAAATTCCGATAGTCTTTATGATGACTACAAACTGACTGCAAGATATTTTAATAAACATATCTATGACCCTATTATATCCCCAAGGCAAGAGGAATCGCCTTACTGGAATCGTCAAGATTTAGTTCTGGCAATACAACGCAGCCAAGAGTAAGTTTAAAAATTGCGCGTCTGGTATTTAAATTTATCGTCAATAATATTTTATTCTGGTTTCTGTTTTCTTATATCATATTATGTCAATTTGATAAATATTTATAGAGCAAATAGACTGGGAGTTAAGATTATTTCGCTGTTAAGTTCTTTATCCATCAACGATTTCACTCTTTCTTCATTAAAGGAATTGTGAGTATTACTTTCCGTTATCGTACCTTTAGAAGTATTATGTCAAATAGATTAAACGATAAATATAAAAAGGAGCATTTAAATCAAAATCAATATATTACCCTTATTGTTAATCACTAAAGATGTGCAGATATGCGAAAGAAAACCCTCGAAGTAGCCTACCCCGAGGTAAATAATACAGTTTGAATTAAAATCGAAACATAGTGGAAATAAACTACTATATTTGAAAGTAAAATGGATTGACTTCCTCGCTGCCATTTGAAAGGCCCTTTCATAAAATTAAATCTAGTACATACTCTCTTATAAAATTCTATCAAAGCCACTTTAGCCCATATCACGATATCTACCCAGCTTGCATGAAAGTGTTTAAGCGTATTTTTCTTGTTAACTATTACAGTACTATATTTCTACTAGTTCCATATTTTGTTTAGTGAAAATTGCAAATTGTAGCCTACGAAAGTTACTCCTTTGACTATAATTGTAGTTATTCTATTTCGACCATTTTTACATACCAGTCTGAGAAAAATAACCACATCTTAGAAATAATTGATAGAAATCTGATATTCTTGGTAATCGCTCTAAACAGGTGTATTCATTGCATATCTTGCAATAATATAAGTTTAGCATTCATATGTACTTACTTGTTTACAGGTCATTTATTTCGATAAATTTGCAGACCTTCGAGATTATATGGTTAATTTTGATACGATTTGTAAATAAGTTCATTTAGTTACCTTTCAATTGAATAATAACGACTTAACTGGATCATACGCCAATTCATACGTAGAAGTTGCCTTATATCACGGACACGAAAATTGATAATAATTATCTTACGTCATATTAAAGAACAATCGATCTATTTAATAGTTAAGTTATAAATGTCCTTCATATGATTTTATCCTATTTTTTATCGTTGTATGCAAACATTTACAAGATTACTGCCACGATCAAGAAATTGGATGATATAAAAGCTGAATTATCCGAACCAGATTTCGGCGCAAATGGATCTTTGCAGTCCATGTAAGCTAAGGATAATTAAAAATGATTTAGAAGCTTTGCTATTTGCATTTCTCCTAAATTGTAGTAACAGTTTACAGTATAATAGTAGATTCGTGATTAATTTGATATAATTAGCAATAGATATAGTAAAGATATCGTAATACAGTAAATCGTCAATTGTAGTAATAATACTATAGTAGAATGTATAAGATTGATATTTATACGGTACCGGTATATTTTAGAGAAAATTAGATTTTGATCGAATGCCAATATAACGGCTATTTACTTAATTTTAGATTAAATTATGAAACCGAGCTGAAAATTCATCTCGAAAAATCGAAAGTTAAACATTATGAGGAAATTTGTGATTTAATCGAGGAGAAGATAAACAACGGTGAGTTTCTCCTTTTTGTATACCACAAACAATGAACAAGTAATTATCGATTTATATAGGTAATAATTTTCTATGCTAATATTCATCTATATGTATCTGATGTTAGTTGAAGAACCAAAGGCAATTTTGTTCTACGAATCGGATGTAATAAAAGCCTGGGAAGACTTACACAGTCGTGAAAAGAGATTTTTAAGCGACCAATCCGTAAAAGCTTGTCCTGAATTACCGGAAGTAATTGTAAGTACGATTTACGTATACTTTGTAATTAACTAGAAGAAATTTACCCTCTTAACATTGGGTTTTAATAGATATATCCTAGAATTATAGATATAACTTCCCTTAACTGAATTTCAAAAAAAATACGTTGCACTTTAATTTAAATAGCAGATTGCTGTAGAACTGTATATCAAGTATAATTAGTCCAAGCTAATAAGAAACAATCTATCAACTACTTTAAAGTTTGCGTTATATATCACGCAAGCATGCAAACCAAAACCAAGTATCAAATGAGAGATCATTTTTAATACATAAGCGAAAAATTCTTCTTTATCTAAATATATTTGTGAATCTAGAAAACTACACTTTCAATGTTAAGATAATTGCAAAATCGAGTAATGGTAACTCAATGGATCATGCCATATTCATCATAATTTCGTTCCAGAGCGTTCCATCTAACATAACGGTTAACTTGGTAGATAAACTAATAACCGATGTTTTCGTTAATAGTGTAATTATCTTTACTGAAATTTAGAGAAAGCCTTACTTTTGGGGGAATATACAAGAAAATGAAGTGGCAGAGTTGGGTAGATTAAATGATGGCAAGTACCTTATAAAATGGTCTGACACAGCACAAGGAAAGAAACAAAATGAATACGTAACAAACTTACGTTTATATCTAACTCCTGGAAGAATATCTACGTTTACGAAATTTGTTATTTATGGCAACGAGACAAAGGTACTACTGTATTGGCAATCTGAGATATTTGTCGATTTTTAAGGTTTTTTAATTTCAAACTGCGAGAATCTTGTAAAGTAATATTATTGTTGACAGAAAGCTGAAGTAGGTATGACTTGAGTCGAACCTATACAGGCGATCGCATATAAATATTATTTATCGAAATTTTTGAATAATAAAACGAAATAATAGATAATCCTAAATAAAGTATATTCTTAAGTAAATTTATAAATTGTTTTAAATGCTACTAAAATTGTCTTTCTACAATAGGGCTATTGGATCGTAAAGAAACCGACAACATACTTCCCTACCATCCAAGAACTGATTGAACATTATTCTAAAGGTGGAGGGACGCTAACGGAAAAAAATTTGTCCCTAATATCACCGATCGATAATTACCATCGTGCAGTGTGCGAACACTACTGTCTTACAAAAAAATCTGGCTATTTTATTAGAGAAGGGCTATATCGTAAAAAAAATGAACAAACTCACGTAGCTGTTACTGAAGTTACAAAACACAGCTCTGAAGACTTGATGAGTGAATTTCGTGCTATTCGATCAAACACTCGTCAAGATAACCTTATACAAGTGCTAGATATCTTGGTAACTGATTACCAATTTAAGATTATCAGTGAATTTAAGAAAGGCATCAAGCTCTCAGAATATTTAAGGGAACAGAAAGGTTGGTATTTAGTGTTATTTTAATCCCATTTAAAATTAAGCCTACACAAAATAGATATATCACGATAGCGAAAGTTGACAATATTTCTATAGTTTACATTAATTTGCTTTCTTGAATAATTTTTTACTCCTTTAATCAGTAAATAAATAAATATGGTCATTTATTAGATTTAACATAAATGTATGTCAGTGTGAAAGCAATGAATTTTAGAACCAGATAATTTTGTTATTAACTCCCACCGCCATTATTTGGTCATCATTATAGATCAACTAGGTAATTTAGAATTGCTGGACATAAGCAAGCAGGTCGCCAATGGTCTAGCTCACTTGCACGAATTGAAATGTATTCACGGTCGATTGAAGGCTAGAAGTTGCCTGTTTAACATAGATACCAAGCTAGTTAAAATCACTGGCTTCGGAACCTATAAATGTGAGTACTAAAATGAGCACTTTACAATAATTGATGGAGAAATAAACGGATTCACTTATAGGTGGAACACACGATCTGTTCTAAAATCTGCTAAATGTCAAACGGGAATGATTTATTAAGGAGCTTTCGATCAAGCAAAATTACTCCTATTGCAGCATATACTTTTGATAACAGCAAATAATAAGTCTATTATTACAAGAGAAGAGCATCGATTTACAATTAAATACTATTTAGTTGATTAAATTATGCAGTTATTGACAATAATCGGATTGCAAAAGATCACAGACAAAACTCCTACATATTATTCGGGGTTAGAGTGCTGCATTATCTAATAATGCAACAAATTTTATGTTACTATGGCGCTATAAAATTGATAGCAGGGTATTAAATTAAACTGTCTAGAATATTAAATTGACCATAAAAATTATCAAACAAGTTGATTTACAATGTTTTAGATTCCAGATAGAGCAGGTTCAGTAGGTGATATAAGTCATAGCAAAGCTTTGTCTTTAGTAATTGGTAATATCTCAAGTTTAAAATAATCAAAATAACGCGCACAGGTTAAAGTATAAAAGAGAATAAATATTAAGCGTAGCCTAAAAGAAACTAGTAGCCACTTATGTCTTACCAACAGTGCTACCGGCTAGTGTTAACAACTATTTCTGTTGAACTACAGTCCATATCCATGACATAGCGTAAGTAATTGTCTATTATAGTCTACCGATAGCGGAAATCTGTATGAGAAGTTCAGTAATTCATGGAAGCTAGAATCTGTATGTATTAAGCTACGATAAACATCGAGATATCAATAGAAGGACTTATTTCACCTGGATTAGACAGATAGTGAGGAAGTTATGAGAAAAATTTATTAATACATGGAAGCAAGTAGCAAGTTAGACCTCTATAAACTTCTGCAGTAAAGCTGCGATACTTAAATTCTTTCCATTAACTTCATTAGAAGATATGATAGACTCCTTAATGTTTGTAATAATACAACTATTTTATCCTTCGTCTTAACTTTTAATATTATCTATTTTGCCGTTAGTATCCAATAAAAACTTTACCTTCTGTAATCGCAATTTGCAATGCACTTGTCGCACTATATTTCTCTAAGACAAACAAATACGCATAGAGTTGTGAGACTAACGTCTCGACATCACAGTGTTTGTCACTTTAACCTCACTCGCTCTGACCAATACATACTTGTGGAAATTGGATAAAATTGTTAAAAACTATATAAGTTTGATTACGCGAATTATCACCATCGAATTCCGATTCTTAATTATTTTCTGTTTAATGTAGTCATGTCTAAACAAGAGCTAGAATCCATTAAGGAACTTCGATGGATATCGCCCGAAGTTTTATTAGATAATGAATTCTCAGTAGAATCCGATCGATGGAGCTTTGGTATAACCTGGTGGGAAATATTTAACTTTGGCACGTTACCCTATTACCACTATAAAGACGATACACAAAAAATTCAACGAGAGATAGCAGCGAAAAAATTCCCTGAAAGGACTGACAGGATGAACAAAAATTATTATGAATTCGTACAGTTATGTTGCGATAAACATAAAGAGAATCGAATAACTATTCAAGCTATTGTCAATAGCTTGCAAAATTGTGATCCAGATGCTCCAAATTTTGCAATTACTCAATTCAAGTTTTAATTGGATATTTCTGATTATTTTGTTAGAATCATTACAGTATTTGAATTTCTGTTTACATGCCTTACAACGCTCAAAGCAAACGTCTGGTAATCGTCAATTCAATGCAAAATGATAGGGACACGATTTTGCTCTATACATTTACTTGTCTAGATACTAGTCTGTTAGTATATGCCGTGCGTTAAAGCGTTGGCAGACTTTGTTTTTAAAGCAATTAGCATAGTTACAGGCTTAAAATCCTTTAGTGTCATTTGTACTATCACATCGAAAATCTATGTAGTTTATGCTTCATTCTGTAGATCTTTAATTGTAATTAATATTCTCTCTTAGAATTGTTACTAATTCATTGGCTATATCTAGCTAGCTACTGTAATTATCCTTCTAGAAAGGAGGAGTTTATTTGAATAGACATTATAACTGGCCATAGTTAAATATTCGATACTGAAGTAAGACTCAAGGATATCGCTACCAAATTGATTGATCACGCCTAGACTACAATCTGAACATTTACAGTTATAGACTTTCCAGAGTGATTAATCAGCAGTCAGTTATTGTAACAACGAGTACATATAACTACCGCACAATTGTCGAATTTATTAATAACTAACTAGCTTGGCCCTGCATGCCTCACCGCAGATAACATACTAGATATAGACTTTTGATTTTTACTTGATAGATGAGAAACATCTAACACAAATGTAAAACCTTTTTGGTGTCACTTTTAGATTCTCTCTTAAAATTTATTCAAAAGATAGCATGATATAACTTTAACCAACAATTGAACATTAAAAGGATTAGCATCGATATTTTCTATCACCCATTAAACGGAACTATTAATAAAAGGGCTGGTATGCGTACTTGAAAATGTAGGTAGTCATTTTATAAAACCTTTTAGAAATCAACTGTACAAAAATTGCTTTAACAGAAATAACTCTTTTTATATTAATGATAATTAACTACCTGTACTGCATAACATAGATTTCTGAAAGCCAATGAATGTCTAGAGCTAGAGCAGATTGACTAAACGTTTGCTAAACACGATGACGACAATAGGCTTAAAGCGTCTAGTTTTTAGCAAAAGTAGATCAAAAATGCATATGTAGTGATCATTAATTTGTAGATTATACTATCGCTATTCAAAATTTAATGTGCAGCTCTAGCTGATAGCAAATTTAATGGGCTATCTATTGCGAGGTTGATAATTATAGGCTACAGCAGTAATTGCCTACCTACAATCGTTTAAAATCCAAGGAAAGAAATTATCCTTTCTATGAGTAACTACTTGATAGGTTACGGGATAGCCTTCTTGGTAGTAAGTCTAATAACCAACCTATTCCAAAGACTGTCAAGATAAGTCGAAAGCAGTCACTACATATAATTTTTAAAAAGGCAGGCAAAAATGTTATTCTTACAATCATTATTCATTAGTATTAACCAATAAGCCTATCCAATAAATAACTATATTCGATTACTTAATCTTATGTATACTATAGAATTCATAGCTTATTTTTATTAGAATCATTTACAGTAATATATTTATGGAATAGTAAGTAATCTATTCAAAATTTTGCTACATCACCAGCTAGAATAGCGCTTTCCTGGTATAATTTACTCCAATTGATGTAAGAATGATTAGCTCTATTAGTTCTTTGATGTTCGTAACATCATCGTTATGATACTGTATAGTAAATCTTCCATTTCTACTAATAAAGTTAAGAAATTAACAGGGATTATTTGCTCTAGACGCCATCAGAGCTTTTTGATTATTCTTATCCGATTCATTTTGTAATTAATTATAGGGTAAACTTGGGTAGATCTATTACATCATATAAAGAATGTTTGTGAATGCTTGTCTTCTGTTAATATAAACTGTAATTTGATTTATAATATTATTTTTCGGAGAATTCTTAAAATTCATAGCATTATTACTCATATGTGTGTAGAGTACTTTTTGGATACATTTATTTCACCTATTTTTTACTTGGTGTTTTACCCAGAGGATTATTCAGACGAGGTATCAGCCCAGTAGTAATTGCTATTATCTATATACTAGGCATTTAATTTATGTTAGTTACTATACTTTCAGTATCTTAAATGTATACATATAAATTTATGTATTTCTTACGAAGTTTGAAAGTGATTTCAAATTAAAAGTACTAATGGTTAGTTGATGCAAATAACATGATATAGGTAAATAGTATTCAATTTATTATAACAATCACTCGAAAGGAAAGCACGAATTTAGTAAATGCGTTTAAACATCCAATTCTCTGTGTATCTTGTAGTTCTTATTTTGTATACTGAAGTATTACTATAATGGAAACGAGTTTAGATTCAGATAAACCTAAATTAAATATGCAATAAACACTACAACTGCAATGCAATTATAACAATTGTTAAATTTCTTTCTATTCACTGCTTATTTAGAATATTCTTACAACAACCACCACTGTACCAGGTATTTAAGGCAGAAAGAAATTATAACCATTTCCTGTCATATACTATAACATAATGACCATGATTGATGTTTCCATAGCTACATGTTATTTGATAATTTTGAAATAATATTCCAAGTAAATACATATTACAACCTTCATGAGTGTATAACCTGGCGTAATTTACAGTTTTAAACATACTTCGTATCTTCGTTGCTCCTCTATTCCTTAATACTTTTTATTTAATCTGCAATAAGAAAAATGCGATATTTTAGCATAAGTATCTACTTATGTATCCGCATTATTGCAATTAAATAGATGTTATTTATATTTATGCACTACTGAAGCAGGTGTGTAATAGTGGCAAAACTTTATCAAGGTCGTACATTATTCGAAGGTAGAATAACAATCCATTAATACTACTTATCATTATAGTATATTTAAATCAAGACTAAATAGCTGATCTACAATTTTCCGCAATCCCTACGGTGCCGAAAGAATTGATGAGTAAAGCACTAAATATTTTTTCAATGGGGTCAAGACACTATTTAGTCCGCTAATTGCTTGCAAATAGTGGTAATTTACTTTATAAGATTATTGAATAAGTTGATCCTTGTGCAAAATCTTTTGTGGAGTATCGCCTACCCAATCGTAAATACATGTATTTACTATTCAATTTCATGCTTATCGAATAGTATATCGATATTATTAGTTATTCAATTACATAATGCTACATATGGTTTCATATGGTTGCATTCTGTACCTTATTTATCCATCATGATAATTACATAATCGAATTTTAAAATAAGAATTCTCAGATTACTGTTAGGGTACAGGAAAGATATCTATCTTCGAACATAAGAATACGATTTAATTTGATATCAGAGTTAAAACCACGCACATAAGTTA